CTAGTTTTCACAGCTGATATTGAGCTTCTCCAGCGGTTCTTTCCACAGATGTAATCGATCTGATTCCTATGTATACCATAATAGGACACTTTAAAATTAATGCACTTTATCCTAGAATTTGAGATCAATAAGAATCAATGAAAATATTTTTAATTCTGATAAACTGAACTCTAATTGCATGTTTTAAAAATTCTTCCGGATTATAAATAATAAGAATTGTATAATTACATTTATGCTTTCTCTTATGTAGATAATTTTTCTATTAATTTATAAATACAGCTATGTCACCCATAGTTCTGATTTAATTACAATATTAGATAAGAGTTGCATTTTTTCTTTTTAAATATATTTTTATTCATTCATTGTTGCATATTTTCTTCCCTCCTCCCTACTGCCTGGCCTAGTTCACTTTGCAATGGAAACATGATAAGAGTTGTTTCATGTAGTAAGCCAAAGCGGTCTCTATTTAAAGTCTGTTTAACTATGCTCTTTTAAAAAAAAATTAAATGTTGTCTTAAATTGATACAGAAGTACTCTATATTCTGTAGGTATTAAATAAGCATAAAAAAATTTGAAATAATGTTGCTCAACCATTTCTTTTAAAAATAAATAATTTTTTTCCCCCATTTCATTTAGGTCAAAGTTGGAAATTGCAATACTCCTAAACCAAGCTTCTTTGATTTTGAAGGAAAGCAAAAATGGTAAGAAATTCTTGGTATCCCTAATGAGGTTGTTGGAAATGATTTAGGTGTTTAGGAATTAGAAAGTAGTGAGCAGATTAAAGAATTATTTTCATATTAATCTCTCTCTGGTCTCCAGTGTACTAATGACAGGCAATTGGGACAGAGATTAAAAGAATCCGATTTTAGCTAAATCTCCTAAAGTATTCTTACGTGAGGAGGTTCACAGCAGACATGCATTCTTTACATATGAGTAATTTCTTAGCTATTGCTTGAGATTCTTTTCTATCACACAGCCCCTAATGCATTACTATTTCTCCCCTTTGAAGGGATTTTTGGAAGGAGGAAGAAAAAAAAAGTAGGTATTAATTCTTACTCTGAATATATAATAAAAGATTATTACCACTGCCATTGCTACCATCTCTGTTTTGTTGTGATTTTATTTTTTAACTTCTGATTTAAAAGCACCCTCTTTTCATTTATAAGATCTTATTTTCCCTTACCTTGTTAAAAAAAAAAAAGAGAGAGAGAGAGAAGTTGCATATATACCAGGGAATACTTTGGAGCCTGAGCCCTGAAATTAAAAGTATACAGGGAAGGGTTGAAAACAAAGCAAAAACCAAAGAAGGAATAAGAGTTGTGTAGAGAGGAGAAAGTTTTAGGAAGGATGGATTCTAACTTTACATTTTGCAGTTATGCTACTAAAAGTCTGATCCTCTGGACAAATTGCATGTCTTCAAACTGTTACTCATATGTAAGGAGATACCAGTGTTAAATTTCACACATTGTACCCTTTGACAATGTCCTTCCATCCTGAAGAATTAGTAGATGAGGTCGTGTATATTGCTTCCTTATCCTCGAGAGTTCACTATCTTTATGTTAAAAGTTGTGTATAATTATTAAAAATCTATGAACGAATAAAAAGTGGATTTAAAAGATAAAAAAAAGAGATACAGAAATTGAAAGAGAATGCAAATCAGTTGCATCATTAATCACACTATTTAGTTCAGCTAAATACATTTTTGGTAAAAGACTCTGTTAGTGAAGGAAGCTCTGCATGGATTTCCATTTTGGCACAGGCTTTCTTTGCTAATGATAATAATTTTCTGATACATTTTAGTGCTCTTCTAGGGAATAGTTGTGTGTTTTCTTGTTTTAGTTTATGAAATTTTAGATTATTATGATTATTTTTCCCCTATGTCTTACCTCTTTTTCCATTTTTTTAAAACTAAAATTGTTTAGAATGTATAACCAGCATGTAAAGAATGTATCCATCAAGAAAGGATACTAATAAAACCATTAGATCTGAATCTCTTGAGAACAATATTTACATATTCTGATCCAGTTTACTGACTAATTACAAAGAAGAAATCTAGTAGATACTGCTTTTACCCAGTCATCACTCTTGCTATTGATGATGGAACAAACTGACATCATGTGTCCCTGTGTGATGATTTATAAAGGTTATGGCAGCTGCTGTTGTTACTAGGTGCCATTGAGTCAAGTAGGACTCATGGTGACACTATGAATTTATATAGCTATGTCAACTGTATATGTTGCTTTTACCAAAAATATTTAACCCTATTTTAATTATGATGAACCATTTTTGGTAAGAACACCGTATAGGTAAAGAAATAATAACAAATTCAAATTGAGGGATATTTAGTAAAACAACTGGTGTGTAGTTTTTTAAAAGGTCTGTGCCTTGGAAAATGAAAATGTATAGATACCTGAACTCAATGTTATGTGTACATCTTGACTGGTTTATGGTCTGAGAGAAAAGGAATTATTGGTACAATAATAGGAAATCGGAAAGTTTTTTTAGGTTGTTTTTGTTGTTATGTATTGTGGAATCAGACTTGACCCTTAGCTCACCCTCCAAGTTTCCAGAGGCAGTAAATCACATGGGAGAAGGGGAGCTCTGGTGGCCTAGTGGCAAGGAACTATAACTACAATCCCAGAGGTGCACGGTTCAAATCCACCAAATGCTCTGCTGGGGAAGGAGGGACAATCTCCTCCTGTACCAGTCAGATCTGATTTGATGGTACACTCACACAAAAATAATAAAAAAAAAAAATTAAAAAAAAAATCACATGGGAGAAGACTGCCCATCTTTCTCCTGTGGAGCAGCTTGGGGATCTAGACTACAAGCCCTTGGGTTGGCAACACAGGTCTTTAGCAGAGGTCACCAGAGTACCCTGGTTCATAGGTTAGACATGTTAAGTCTCCAAAATTTGAACCATACTATATTGTATCTATCCTATCGATATTTATCAGCACAAATGTATATGAAATACATCTGAAGTGTCAAGAGATTTGATAAAGTTTAGATAGCCTCAGAAAGGATTTTATATCATCACAGTAACAGAGAGAGTAAAAAATAAAACGGGAAAAACTATGGGACTTAATTCCAGTTCAGGGAGATAAAGAAACCCTGGTTGGATATAGAAAGAATTGGCAGAAAAACCTAAAGAGGAAGCCCATCCCAGTAGCTTAACAAAAAAAGAAAAGAGTGATTTAGAAAAGGACTCAGAATTCAGATATTACTATTAATGTTGTAGGAAGTTCTTACTGGTTTGCCTCCCCCCCATTAGTTTATTTACACAATTCAAATACAAATTTGAACAAATTCTTTCCATTTCCCTCACCCCACCACCCATCAAAATGTACAACCCAATGATTAATCCCCTTTCCCCCCAGTACATCCACATCCCTCTGCTTCCAGCCTCTTCCACCCCTCCTGAATCCTTATACTCATTCTACAATAATGATCTTATACAATATTTATCCTTATGGGACTGAGTTAGTTCACTCAGCATAATGCTCTCCAGTTCCTCCCAGGTTAGGTAGTAATTTACAAAGTTATTGCTCCTGTGTGCTTTATAGTATTCCATTGTGTGAATGTACCATAATTTCTCAATCCATTCGTTTGTGCTTGAACATTTGGGCTGTTTCCATGTTCTTGTGATAGTGAATAATGCTGCTATGAACATTGGAATACAAATCTTAGGTTGTGCCTCAGTTCTCATATTCTCAGGGTATATTCCAAGTCGCATCTCACTTTTTAAATCCTTGGCCCAGGCCTCAGAATTCACTGTTTATAGTCTCCAGATGAGATGACGGTAGAAGATGGTACTGTTATGAACTATCAAGTGGGAATCAATTCACAGCTGAACCTCTAGCAGATTTTCAGAGGTAGTCAATAGCATAGGAGGAGATTGTCCATCTTTCTTCCACCAAGCAGCTGGTGGATTAGAACTGCATGCCTTTATGTTGGCAGCATAACACCTTACCACTAGGTGACCAGAACTTGATAACAGTAGGAGAATGTACATTTACTTCAATGAAAAAATCTTGAGCATTTTCCCCAGGAATTATTTTTGTGTGATAGTGAGCTTTTGTACTACTGATGTTGTTAGCTGCTTTTGATTCTGACTCATTGCAACCTCCTCTGTGCAGAGTGAAACTCTTCTGTAAGATTTTTAAGACTGGCATTTTGAAGGAGATTGCCAGGCCTGTCTTACACAATTCCTCTGTGTGGGTTCAAACTGCTAGCCTTTAGCTCTTTGGTTGGGCCCCTTAAGCTTTAGTACTATCCAGAGACTACCGATGCCATGTTTTGTTGTTGTTATTGATTGCTGTCAAACCAAGTATGACCCATAGCGACTCTATGAATCAAAGACCAAATGCCTTTCCATAACTATTGTCATTTCTCAAAGTTCATAGAGTTTCCAGAGGCACGTTTAGGAAGTGTATGCCACTCCTATTTCCAAACCTGTTTTACAACTGGGAGCTCACCAAACACTGTTCACATTGGGAAACCAGTCTGGTATCTCATACCCCACTGGCACAAGGTTCAGCATCACAGCAAACCCAGGTTACTTCATACAGCACATTGACAAAGAGTGAGACAAAGAGTGATGTACAAAGTGGAAGAGTGTCCTCCTCCAGATATACCAGCATTAGTCATATTTAGCAGTGGTTAAGTGTCATTGAGTTGAATATGATACAGAGTAAGCTTTGCACAAAAGACCTGTACTCTGTTCTGTAATTAACATAATTTCTGGACATTTATGTTGAGTTTGTAGAGTTTCCAGAGACATCTAGTTTAGGGAGTGGATGCCACTCCTGCTTCCCACCATAAATCAATCTGGAATTTCATCCAAACATTGTACATAATGGGTAACAGTTATGGTATTGACAAGACTGTTTTGATAAGACTGATGCCGTAGGCTTACGTAATTTCTAACATTAGAACTACTTCTATTGATTAATGGTATTCTCTATAGGCATAACAATTGGGTTTTGGAAGTGGTAGTTAATAAAAGACCTTCCAAAGAACAGTGTGGAAATTATTAAGCAATATCAGTAATATCATATACAAGCAAAATGCTGTTGGAGATCATTTAAAAATGGCTAGAACAGTACATAGACAGAACTGCCAGATGTTCAACTTCAGCTTGGATTTAGAAGAGGCCGTGGTACCAAGGAAATCATGGTTGGTGTCAGATGTATCCTGGCTGAAAGCAAAGAATACCAGGAAAACGCCTCTTTGTGCTTTATTGACTATGAAAAGATACAGGATTATGTAGATCATAATAAATTATGGCTAACATTTGGAGGAATGGGAATTCCAGAACACTTGATTGCACTTGTGTGAAACATAAACCTAGACCAAGAGGATGTTGTGCGAACAGAGCAAAAGAATAAGAATATTTTAAAATTAAGAAAGGTGTGCGTCAGGTTTGTATTCTTTCTCCATACCTATTTAATCTATCTGCTGAGAAAATGATTTGAGAAGCTGGACTCTATGAAGAAAAATGTAACATCAGGATTTGCAGAAACTTATCACTATAACCTTCATTATGCAGATGACACAGCTTTGCTTGCTGAAAGTGAGGAGGACTTGAAGCACTTGGTACAGAAAGTTAAACACTGCAGCCTTCAGTATGGATTGTATCTCAATGTCAACAACAACTTTATCTTACTCGGAGCCACCGTCAGTACACTTAGTACCAGCAGTCAGGAGATCAGGAGACATATTGCACTGGAAGTCTGCAGTCGGGGACCTCTCCACACTATTGAGCAGTAATGATGTCAGTTTGAGGACAAGGGTGCCCCTGATTCAGGCCATGGTCTGTTCAGTTATTTGCTATGCATCTGAGACCTGGACAGTGACTAAGGATGACAGAAGAAGAATTTTGATGACCTTTTGTCATGTTGGAGATGAGTGCTGAAGATCCTGTCTTCTAAAGAACAGATAGATAAGTCTTGAAGACGGTGCCGCTAGAGTGCTCCTTGGAGACCAAGATGATGAAGCTTTGTCTCACATAATTTGAGCATGTTGCTAGGAGATTACTCCTTGGAGAGGGCCATAACGTTTAGAAAGGTGGAGGGGCAGCGAAAGAGAGGACCACTAGGTGGATTTGACACAGTGACGGCTTGAGTGTATCAGAGATTGTGAGAATGGCGCGAGACAGGAGAATGTTCAGATGGGTTGTTCATAGGTTCACTATGAGTTGTATTCAACACACCTAACAACAACACAAGATCACTTGACATGATGACTTTAACAGTGCTCTAGGATATAAGAGGTAGTAAGAATAGCACAGGATAGCACAAGGCTCAGATGTGTTGTTCATAGGGTTGCTATGAGTCATAGTCAACTCAGTGGCACGTAACAACAGTTACTAAAATCTTAGATATTAAAAGAGCTTGTAGATAAATTAATAGGTAGGTACAAAAACAGCTGTTAGATGAGTTGACTCTGCATGACTTTACGTTCAGGACAATGAAATGTTACCTTGTTCTGTGACGTTAATGATCACCTGCATGTTCCAGACATTGTTGTGTCAAACTGTCTCAGCAAGAGTCTTCCTCACTTCACTGGCCCTCACTTTTACCAGTCATGATGCCTTCCACTAGCAGTTACTCCCTTCTTTGATCAAAGCAAGCTGGTCAGGTGGTGTTCTCTTGTGATCCATAACATTTTCATTGGCTAATTTTTAGAAGTGAAACACTATGCACTTTATGTAGTCTGTATTATCCTGGAAGCCCTGCTGCCCCTGTTTTCCATTGGTGAGCTGGCTGGTATTTAAAATACTAGCAGCATCATGTGCAGGCCACCACAGTATAACACACTGACAGTGGGAGATGGATGTGGACAAGGGTCCTCCAAAACTTAAGAGATATGCAGTATATCTATGTTAATAAGATATCTTAAAGGAAGGTAATTAGGAAAAAGTGTCCATAAAGGCTTAGTAGGTAGGATAGGAAAAGTTGGGAGAAACTGCTAGGGACCAATATAAATGTAAAAAAAGAAGGCTGTTCATCTTGGCTTATTATCGTCTCAAAATCTTCAGGCCCATAAAATGTACATATGAATTATTTTTGTTAACGGTTGTGTTCACTACTTAGTTATTGACAAGCCGTTTTGGATATTCTGTACCATAGGGAAGCATGGAAAGCACTTGGTGATTCAAGCCCCAGCCAAGCCATGCAGGAGTATATTGCAGTAGTAAAAAAATTAGATCCAGATTGGAATCCTCAGGTAAGACCTAATGATTATAAGCGATCCTTTCTAAACACAATATTTTTTTAAAATATTTTGAAAATTAAACCAAGACATCAGTAACATTCCCAAAGTTTTATTCTTTTAAGCCAAGAGGTTATAAAAATCAGTGTAATATTTATCTGAAAGTACTATTGTTTAAATATTAAATAGTCACTAATATAGAGAATGTCTTCAAATTATTACAAGTGTATTTTTTAATCATGTGAAAAGTCAGTTCATTTCAGGATTTAAAAGAGTTTAACTTGAGATCAACACTATCTTGAGAAAAGGAGTTTCTCAGATTTTTTTTGAATGAGTACCTTCAGTGCCAAGTACACAGGGCTTATTGGGAGAGAGAAAAGATGAGTAAGACATACTTTCTGCTACAGTATACTTTAAATACTTTAAAGATAAGATAATGGTATCAGATAATAACAACAAGTGTTAGGGAGTCAGGTGGATTAAGAGATTACTGTGGACTTTAGGATATTGGATATTGATTTAAAAATACCTTGGTTTTGTTTGTTTTAGTATACATACCTGGAGAGCCTTTTAAAGCATCTAGAAAAAATTTTTTTCAAGTGGAATTGCTATTTTATTAAAATTCTAAGACCTATTTGGCAGCTATATCAATAATATTTAAGCCAAACCATTTAAAGATTAATGAATTTAGCGAATGTGTTTGTAGTAATTCTTTCATGGTGTATAGTGACTATCAGAATTTTTGTTCTATTGTTAATGAGCTCTTAATATCTCAAAGTTGACAGAAACCTTAAAAAATTATCTTGTGTACCATATAAAATTAATTATGAGTAAAACAAACAAACAAACAAAAAAAAGAAGAGGTGACTAGGAGATCTTTAATGGTACAACTGCTTTTTGAACATCCCTGAACATTTCCTGATGTTTTTTATTTGCATGCGTACACAACTTAAAAATTTTCCATTTTATTAATAGATTTTATAAATTATGAAATATGCAAGCGAATATATACTATAAGGATCCTAAGGGCATAAAATTCCGTAATCAAGAAGGAGAACCAAACTCAGCCTAAAGCAGTGTTTAAAAACAAACATGTATGGGAACTCAAGGTGGGGAGGGCTGAGGATGGGTAGAGGCAAAACCACAGAGTGGCATGAAGGAAATGGGAAGAATCTGGGCAAAAAGACTGAGTCATGTTGAGCAGGGTCCTTTGGTGATTAATTTTATAAAACAGTGCATGAAAATGATTATATGAAGTAACAATGTGAGTGAATATTGTGAAATATAATGTTTAAGAACTTTGTAAGCAAACCAATAAAAAAAAATTCAAAACAACAGAACTTGACTTTCAGTTTCTTTAGAGAAAGACTACCTCTTTCTTTTAGTCTTGGTGGAGTCAATTCTTCCTTATGATTTGTTCTTGTTGCTTCTGTTGCCTGGCCCATGAGGGAAATTAGTTTATGGCTCCTGTTGTTTTGTCCTATTGAATTGGAACTGACCCTTCCTTATCTGACCCAGCAAGTTTTCAGAGACAATGGACAATAGACAATAGAAGACATTTCCATCCTTCTCCTTCAGAGCAGCTGGTGGTAAATGACAAAGTTTATTCTTTCTTAACTATTCTGCCTTCATTATGAAATAAAGTTCTATTGCCAAGAGGTACTGATTTAGTGAATAAGAAAGACCAAGAAATTGTGGTGTCGTCAAAGAATATTAACTGCCAGAGACTGAACAAATCTGTCTTAAAGGATATATGACCAAAATGTTCTTTGCAAGAGCAAAGATTGTGAAACTTAAGTCTCTCATACTTTGGACTTATATCAGCAAAGGGACATAATGGTTGGTAGAATATAAGGCCAGCGGAAGAAGAGGAAGACTTTGAGAGGGGTTGACACAATGACTGTGGCAGTGAGCTCAAACATAATATTGTGAAGGTGGTCCAGGACTGACCAGTATTTCATTTTGTTGCCCATAGAGTCCTTGTGAATTGGAACATGGGTACCTCACGACAACTGTGACAAATGCTTGCAGATTCTGTGTGGTTATGTAGTTCTTCCATATAGCAAGAATACAAACAGGTGTTAAAAGCTTTTAGAGAAGAGAAGAGAAAAAAGAGATGATGGAAAGAAAATAAAGAATAGTAGAATCATGTGAAATAACATCAAAAGGAAGAACATACATATGAATGGAATTCCAGTACACAAGGGGGGGAAACATTGTTAAAATTGTTGAAGAGTTACTAGAAGAAAACTTCTCTGATCTCAGGAAGAATTAAGAAAACCACATTCAAGAAGCTCAGAGAATCCCAACAGACTATACCCCAAAAGAAGAACTTCAAGACATATCATAATCAGATTCTCCAAAATCTAAGATAAGGAGAATACTAAAAGCAGCACCTACAAAGGAGAACCAATTAGATTAAGTTTTTATTTTTCAGCAGAAACCATGTGAGCAAGAAGACAATGAGATGGCATATATAGAAGGCTGAAAGAAAATAATTACCAGCCAAGGATCCTGTACCCAGGAAAACTGTCCATTATATTGTTGTTGTTGTTGTTATATAGGAAGGAGAAATTAGGTCATTTGTAGAAAAGCAGAAAGTTAAGGATTTTATTAATATAAGGCCAGCTCTACAGGAAATGCTAAGAAAAGTCTCTCACAAGCAACTCCAAAGGAAAATGATGGACCAACTCAGTCCTGAGAGGGCAATTCATAGCAAAGGAACAAACAAACAAATTATAGGTGAAGAGAAAGACAATAAACAGTCAGAGTGGTCAGTACAATACCACTAAAGAAGGAGAAAACAGATACACAAAAGTACATAGTTAGACAAGATGAACAGATATGGATAGATGAAAAGAAAATAAATAAAAAATTTAATTGGCTTTCCTGTTCCAATGACCAGGTTAGAAAGGAGGATAGGAGAAATACCCTAGAGTGCCTGCCACAAGGACAATTGAGAATTGTCATTTTGTTAAAAAAAATAAAAAATTGTTTCTTAACTATTTAAAAGGGAGATGTGATTCGGTATTGTCATGACAGGAGTCCAGAATGAAGGCTGCATAGTGGGGTTTACTTTTCAAAGAGAAGAGCTAATTCGGGGGAAGAAAGGGTGGGCAGGGAGAAAAGTACAACAATCAATGAATGGAAACCCTCAGTCTCTGTAAACTTTCATTAAATTTAATAATAATTAAAAAATAATAAAAAATTGTTTCTCTTAGAGCTCTGAAGCAAGTA